AGCACATGAGGTCTGCCAGCTGTGGATGAATCCCCAGTCATGCTGGGTTCCCATGCTGGACTCCAGCTCTTCTGCCAGGGTGCTGTGGGTTCAGCTCTGAACCCCTGCATTCCTATCCTTCTGCACCCTAGAATCCTACTCAGCTGCTTTTTGGCTGCAGTCAGGGTACCTGATTGTAGGAGAGGGAGGATAAACAATGCTGAAATGTCTCTCACCCTTCTGCTTTCCAGGCACTGGCTTTAGCAATCAAAGAGGCAAAACTCCAGCATCCCGACATGCTGGTAACCAAAGCTGTGGTGTACAGAGAAACAGAGCCCTCTCCAGAGGAAAGGGACAAGAAACCTCAGGTAGGTGGAGAAGCTGCCAGGTGTGATTTACACCTGCTGGCTAATGGGGGTGTAACAGGTCACAGTCTCTGGTCCCCACCAGCCACAGGTGGCTTTGGGCATAGCCACCTGGCTGTGGTTAGGAAGCCACTACTGTGCCACCAAAAGCAATGCTGTGGATGCCACCCTGCTGTCCTGCTCAGCACAGGGCTCAGAGGCATTTGATGTAAAAAGGAAAGAACCTGCTCATCCCCCTGGGGTGGGGAGGGAATGAAGGGACATCAGGTTTGTGGCTAGGCTGAGGCACTTGGCTACAGGGTCTTCAGAGCCAAAGTATCAGACCAATGTTGGCAAAAATTATAATTTCTTTACAAAAACCGTACAGCTTTTCAGTCCCACTCAGATACCCAGGTAGAGTTTTTATACACACACAGGTGTAGGCAGCAGCACACAAGGTTTGCACCTCCCTGCAGACACCCCAAAGCTGTCACAGTCCCAGACACTTCTCTAGGGCTTGGGGAGTCCCACCCTAAACGCCCTATTTGACCCCATTCCTCTCCGTGAGCCAGGAGCTGCATCTCTCTGGGCTGGCACAGCCACCAGAACCCTGTGTGGGAGCAGTGGGGACAGAGGTGGAGTGGAGAGGGAACAGTTCTGGGGGCTCTGGCAGCAGCCAAGCTGCAGCTGCATTTGGAGAGGCTCCTTGGAATTGGGATTTTCCACTTCTTTATCATATGAAGGTTTTGATTGGCAGCTTTTAAGCCTGGAAAAGCAAACAGCAATGTAGCTGGGAAGGTCAGGAGAAGCTCATGGAGCTGCCTTGTCCCATCCCACAGTACAGACAAGTCCAGACATTCCTGCATCCCATAGGATCCACCCAGTTTTAGCTGAATGGCTTAAAGTGAGGGAGCAGCAACTCCCCCTCATGTCCTTCATGCACCAACAGCAGCCCAGAGCATAAATTCCTGCTAATTACCAGAGCTCATGCTAATTAAATGCAAACTGTGGCCCCACGTGCTTGCCAAGTTTTGCTCCTGTGCCCTCATGCCAAGAGGAGCCTCCATGGATTGGCACTCCATGACTTGGTCCTTTCCATCTGCCTTGCACAGGAATCTTGACCAACATGTTCCTGGAAGTCCATCTATATTCCAACCTGGAGAACAGGGGAGAAGGAGCCTTCATGCTGATTTCTCAGCAAGACATAGACATCCTGGCTGCAATGTTCATGGCAAGAGACAAAAATTTTTAAAAAAGGAATAGCAAATATATTATATATATATATACATACATACATATATATATATATATATATAAAAACAGGAAACAAAATGCATCCTTGCACTGCTGCTATATGCTGGAATCGAATAGCAAACAACACCACCAATAAACAAAGCCAACCCTCTGCAGATAAATTGAAGAATTTCCTGGATTGGTGATCAAATCAGATTTAAAAAGTCATAATAATAACAATAATCTCGGTAACAGTACAATAAGCCACCATCTTGCATGTTACATGAAAGGACACACAATCATGAGTTCATTTGTTGCACACTGAATGGAAAGGAAAATTGCTTTGCAACAAAGCAAGTAAGCAAACTGAAGTAAAATACCACAAGCAGAAGCAAAACCATTCCCCACCTCTGGAAAGAAGAGAGAAAAACATTCAAGTTATGACCATAGAGTTATTTTCCAATTCACAAGTGTCGTTTCGCCCTTCTCCTCATTCCATGCTGGTTTTTTGCATTTTTTGGGGGTTCTGTTGACTCTTCCCCTTCCCTTCCTTATCTTCTCTGTGCACTTGTCCAACCTCTTGTTCTCTGAAGGTATTTAGGAATGGGTTTCATTTCAAACAAAGCAAATGATATGTACATGGTTTCTCATCTCTAATGAGCAGCCTGTGGGGTTTCATATGGATGTGCATTTCAGTTCTGTATATTATTCTATATAACGGAGGGGGAGGGAGGGAACAATGCTGAAATAATTCGACAGTGCTGGTACAGATGATGCCAGCATTTTAAAATCATTAACTCTTGGATTGACTGTGGTTGGTGTACTTGGAGACTCTTAGATCACACATGGGACTTTGAGTCCTGCAAGAAGGGAATGGGAAGGGTTTTGGCTGCTGCTGGTTGGGGGGCAGGGGAGAGGGCGAGGGAAGGAAATGTCCTGTCAGCTGATCTGCAGTGTGTGGTGGTGAACTTTGGAGGGGCAGGGAAGGCTCCAGCTCCACCAGTTGTAGGCAGGATGGGCTCCCAGCCCCCTGAGCCACGGGATCAGCGGGGAGCGAGGTGGGGCTAAGCGCTCGGGGTCCCCTGCAGCCTGCAGAGCCGTGCCGCTGGGTGGGGTGGGTTTGCTTTGTTTCTGGATCCCAGTAATGGAGGTACTTGAGTTTTGTACTAGGGTCAAAGGCAGAGGGGCTGCTTGTGCCCTGCCTCCCCCACTACCAGGGGTGTGATGGCAAAGAGCTGGGGACAGCGCTGGCAGGGCCATGGCAGTGCTCCCCTGACCTGCCATGGGATGGGCAGCGGAGGGACCGTGCTGTGTCCATCCCTGCAGAGTGTCCCCAGCATCCCAGGCTGGGTGGGAGAGACCAGGAGGCGTCAGTGGAGCTGCTCCCAGCTCAGCCTTCAGTCGCAGGCTCCTCCAGGGCTGCCTTTGGAAGGGGATCGTGGGCCAAGCCCAGGGCCCCGTACACTGTGAACCAGGCAGTTCGGGTAGGCTCGGAACCAAAACCAGAAAGGAAAGAAATGGGTTTCCTTCTTGGAATTGTCTTTAGCTCCTGCAGAAACTGAAGGGCCCATGATTCTGCACCATTTTGCCTTTAGTCTCCCACCCCTCACACAGACTGTGCCCAGGACCAGGTGTGTTCTGCCAGGCCTTGCCAGGGCTCGCAGGATGCCTGAGCAGGAGCGCCTGCGCCACGAGGTTGCCGTGGGCAGATCCTGCTCCCACCTTCACTGTCCCAGGAGGGAGCTGCTCCCTGGCAGCTGCTCACCAGCTGCTCACCAGGGTCTGTTCTCCTGGCAGAGGTTTCTGCTGCAGGTGTGGAAGGCAAGAGCACAGGGGCTGCTGCCGGTGCCAGTGCCCATCCCCAGCTTCCAGCCATGCGCCTTCAGAGAGCACAGCCCCAGCCTAAGAGCAGTTCAGGCAGTCACTAAGAGCCTCCTTTTCTCTCGTTTGTTTTCACAATGCACCCAAGCCAGCTGTGCCCAGCAGTGGCACTGCCAGGGGTGGTGAGGTCCAGGGTCTGCCTGCCGTGCTGGCGTTCACCAGCACATGGCACAGTTCAGGGTTGGGGGAGCCCACCTGGCTTGGGCACCTCCACAGCCCACCCGAGGCCACTGTGACCCTCCAGAGTTGCTTTTGGCGTTGTACACAGTCTGGGAAGCGATGGTTCCCGTGGGATTGAGCAGCTCTACAGAGTTGGGCTCCCTGTGTGCTTGGGCTGTGTGAGTTCCACTGGCAGTGAGCAGCCCCTGGCTCCCGCAGTGTGTCCATGGGTGGCAGCGTCGGAAACATTTTTTTTACTTAAAAAAATAAAAGAGGAAAAAAAATAAAAAGGAAAGAAAAATGCTCACTGCTTGTTCTCCTGGTGAGGTGTGGCTTTCTGCTGCTCAGCCCCAGCCTGCCCATCACAGTGCTCCGTTTCAGATAGCTGGCCACTGCTTGTTTTCTTCCAGGGGCCTTTTCTGTGTAAAGGGGTGGGAGACATGAGTGCCTGTTTTTACCCAGTCCCACAAATTCATTCTGAACCTGGCCTGCAATTGCATGAATAATAATAACAGTAACAATAATAATAATAATAATAATTATAATAATAGTATTTATTTTTATTTGAGAAGCACCTTACCAACCAACTGCAACGCTCTGTTGTTCCTTCACTAACTCTCCTTTTCTCTTCCCTTGTTCTCCCTCTCCCCCTTTGGTCATACTCCTTTTCAGTGCTCGGTGGTGTATGCGTGTGTGCTCACTGTTCTTGTATTCAATAAAAGTGAAATAAATGTGTTTGATGCTAAATCAGCCTGGGACCTCGGTGGACTCTTTCCTACTGAGAGGATGGAGAAGCAAAGGGGGAACCTTGCAACCGGAGGCACAGCACGTGGAAATACCGGGCCTTGTCTAAAGGAAAGCTTGTAGAAATCATGGAATCCCAGAATGGTTTGGGCTGGAAGAGAATATAAAGCTTGTCCTTTTCCATTCCCTGCCACAGAAAGGGACACCTTTGACTATCCCAGGTTGCTCCAAGCTCCGTCCAACCTGACCTTGGACATTTCCAGGGATCCAGGAGCAGCCACAGCTGCTCTGGGCACCCTGTGCCAGGACCTCTGGACCCTCCCAGGGAACAATTCCCTCCCAATATCCCATCCATCCCTGCCCTCTGGCAGTGGGAAGCCATTTCCCCTTGTCCTGCCATTCCAGGCCCTTGTCCAAAGTCCCTCTCCAGCTGTCCTGGAACCTCTTTAGGCCCTGGAAGGAGCTCTGAGGTCTCCCTGAAGCCTTCTCCAGGTAAAGACCTCCAGCTCTCCCAGCCTGGCTCCAGAGCAGAGGGGCTCCAGCTCTCAGAGCATCTCCACGTCCATGTCTGGACTCGCTGGAACGTCTCCACGTCTCTGCAGTGCTGCAGACCCCAGAGCTGGAAGCAGTTCTGCAGGGATCTCACCGCACCCAGGGCAGATGAAGATGTTGCCAGGTCGGGAATTGCGGCTGGTGGAGCTGGGAGCGTACGGCAGGGGCCGAGCCTCGGACACACCTCGGACACTCGTGGTTGTGAGCCAGGGTGGTTGTGAGAATGCTCAGGGTGCAGGGCCGGGGTGGGAACTGCCCCTCTCTAGGGACCCCGGCCCTGTCTGTGTCCTGGGGAGCAGGACGTGGTGCCGGGACAGTGTCTGTCCTGCTCAGGGCTGTGTGTGTCACACTGAGGGTCTGCCCCGGCGGGTCTCTCTGTCCATCAGTGCCAGGCACGGCTCTTGTCCGTCTGTCCCGCTGCGGGCTGGGACCACGGGGGCCCAGAGGAATGGCAGCCAGCCGGGGGGACTGGGGACCGGCTTTGGGGACAGCGGGGAGCAGCGGCCAGCCATGGAGGGGCAAAGGGGAGCAGCGCCGGGCTGAGAGCCGGCCATGGGCTGGGGCAGCGGGACCGAGCCGGGGCCGGCCGGAGGGCACAGGGACCGAGTCGGGGGCGATCGGGGGCAGTGCCCGCTGTCCACGGGGNGCCCCCGCTGGGCTCCGAGTGCCGCAGCTACGCCGAGGGCCTGGCCCGGCTGCCCCGCATGCGGCCGCGGGCCGGCACACAGATCCGCTTCTCCGAGCTGCCCCGGCAGGCCTTCCCCGACGGGGCCACCCCCGAGGAGATCACCCGGCACAGCATGGACCTGAGCTACGCCCTGCAGCGGGTGATGGAGCAGCGCTACCCCGGCCGGCCGCTGGGCCTGCTCGGTGAGCTCCGCCCGGGGAAAATGCCATTGCGGGGCAAACATTCGGCTCCAGCGTGGAATCTGTGCCTCTTCCCTGCCCCACGAGGGCTCTGCAGCGCAGCACAGAAGTTTGTGGAGTTTTTAGCAGCCTTAGGGGCTGTTCCCATAGCCTGGAGGAGACTGAGGCCAGAGCTTCTCCCGAGGGGCAGCTGCGATCTCTGTTCTGTGTGGCCAGGGAGAGCATCCGAGGCTGGAACTGTCGGGGGAAATTTAGGCTGGATATCAGGGAAAGATCCTTCCCCCAGAGGGTTCTGGGCACTGCTCAGGCTCCCCAGGGATGAGCACAGCCCCGAGGCTGCCAGAGCTCCCATCTCAGGGGTGCCCAGGGTGGGACTGTCGGGGTGTCTGTGCAGGGCAATGTGGGTCCCTCCCCACTCAGGATATTCTGAAATTCTGTTCCACGACTGTCTCCTGTGAGGACATGGTGCTGCAGCCCAGATTAAGTCAAAAGCAGCAGTCACAGGTGGCTCTGGTGTCTGGCACTTTACCTGTTCAGTGAACCTCATACAGAGTCCTGGGAGCATCAGGTGGGGATGGGCACCCCCAGCCCCGTGTTCCTGTTTGGTTTTGGTTCCTGCTGCAGTGACTGGTCCCTCCCTGGCCCAGCTCCACGTGTGCCCCTTGGGCAGTGTCCGGGCTGTGCCAGCCCTGCTGTGGGGACACAGCTCCTCCCAGAGCTCAACCTCTCCCCAGCCTATTTTGCAACCTGTGCTACAAATAAATGCTGGGTCTGTGGAGGTCCTGGAGCAGGGTTTTGTTTTGTTGCAGGATGGAGGGAGAATCCCTCACAGCTTCCCAGCTGGAACCCTGGTTTGGAATAAGCCTTTGTTTATCCCTTCATCCATTTTTTGTCTGTTAACTTTATACAATTTATTCTTTTTCAAAATTACCAAAGATAACTCTAGGATGTAAAGAGAACAAATTATCTTAGGGAATGGTGGCAAAACAGTTGATGCCAAGCATCCAGCGTGATGAGCCCTGGCTCTTAGTTCAACAAGGCAAACACTCTCATTGATGCACTGCTGACCTCTCCCAGGATGCCAGGACAGTGGTGTTTGCAGTCCCATGTGGTGCTGGACACTCAGCACAGGCAGGCTGAACTCTCAGAATAACAGCAGGATCTGGTTTGAGTTTGGGTCTGTTTCTTGGTGTTGTTTGCTGTCTGTAAAGCCCCTCTCCAGTGCTGATAATCACAGTTACAAGGTGTCCTGCCCTGTTTTGCTTTGCTCCATCTGAAGAGCAGCACAGGGTCAGTGTTTGAGGTATGGATGCACTTTGCAAAATCCAAACCAGGAAATCATTTACAGAGCTTTGGGGAGGACACATTCCCAGGATATCTGTTTAGTCTTACGTGTTTTGTTTTGTTTTGTTTCCCTTCTCTGAACCCACACAGCTGAGTTGCAGTTTGCCTTCATCTGCTTCCTGATTGGGAACGTGTACGATGCCTTTGAGCACTGGAAAAGACTCCTGAACATCCTGTGCCGCTCAGAGGAGGCAATAGGGAAGTACCAAGACCTTTACATCAACCTCATTTCCGTGCTGTATCACCAGCTCAACGAAATCCCAGCAGATTTTTTTGTGGACATTGTCTCCCAGGACAACTTTTTAACCAGCACCTTACAGGTGTGTTTGTGGCTGTTCCCTGGGAAATGGGAGTGGGAGGGGGAGTAGCCATCAAATTTGGGGAGAAGCTGCCAAAGGAGTTAAGATGCATGGGAGATGGGAGCCTAAGCACACAGGGATTCACTTTTACTTTTTCTCTCCATTACTCAGAGGGCAAAAATTGAAGAAATTCAGCCCAACAGCTACAAAAGAGGGTGGGCAAGTGCAATGTGATGTCTGTTTAATTTTTCCAAAATGCCATTCATTCTTTAAAAGGAAAAACAACACAGAAAACTTTGGCATGAAGGACTAATGATGATGATTTTTGGAATGGTTTGCTCAGCATGCAGGGAAGCTGCAGCAAAGCTTTATTGAGCTAAGGGCAGTGTTAGTGTTTAAGAAGCTTTTCCATTCCTTAGCATAGCTGAGGATTTCCTGTAGTCAAGTTCTTATCCAGAGGGACTTTATGGTTATTCCAAAATGCAGAAGATGCTGCTGCTGCTGAGACAGGTGGGGGCAGATCTGTGGCTCAGCCCCAGTGAAACCAGTTACTCCCACTGATGGTGACTGTGCTGGCAGCACAGCAAACTGCCTTAGTTTAGCAAAAAAAGCCCAAATCAGAGACACTGATAAAGCTGAGCAATGGGAACCAGCTCTGCAGGAGGCTGTGAGCAGTTGTGCTACAGGTGCTCCCTCTCCTTTCCCAGTTCCATTCCTCTCCTTGTTAACCCCAAGTTCTTGCTGTACTTCGGGGAGGGTGGAGGTGTTTGGGTTTAATTGCTGGGTAAAATGCTTTGGGAAGCATTGCTTTAATTGAGTGCTTTCAGATTTTTCAGTTGGGATTCTTACAAGTCTTGGGGGCAGTTTGAATTTATATTTTATTTCTGCTGGCAGATTTTTTTCCATCCCACTACAGGACTGGACAGCCCAGCTGCGTTTGCAGCACGCTCAGAGCAGTGCTGTCAGTTCAGAGGAGTACCCAGAATACGGCAACCAGCCATTGCCTCCCCCTGAGGGGACTTGGAGAATTTGGGCAGCCCTTGTTGCTGGTTCTGGCTGGCTGAGTCCACCCCTGGGCTCTGTCTCTCTGTGTCCGTCCCTCAGCAGGAGTTGGTGTCAGGATCAACCATAAGCCCTTGCAGGAGTCACCACATTCCCAGTGACAGAGAAGAGCTCTGCAAACTTCCTCACTCAGAGTTCTCCATTTCTGCTCCCTTGGGATTTCCCCAGAGTGGTGCCAGGGGAGCTCTGGGCCTTGCCTTACCCCTCACTTTACACACAGACATCACAATTCTCTGCCTCAGCTGCCCGTGGGCAGTGTCTGTGCAGCTCCTGCTGGAAGCAGCAACTTCATTTTTGGAGTCTGATCCAAGGCAAGAAGAGCACAACACAGCCACCAGTGACTGTGCAGCCCTAGCAGTGCTTAAAGAAAAGGAAAGCTTGGTGAAATAACTAATTTAATGAAGAAGTGGGAAGTATAATCTTCTAATAGTTTTTTTCCCTACCAGCATTGCTGTGTAAGAGTTCTGTTAGAAAGAGGCAGTTTTCCAGTAGAATGAGCAAGGAAAATGCAAATGTTCATCCACAAAGCAGCAAACTTTGCTGCTCATTGTCAGTGTTTTATCCAGTTTTCAGCAGGTCTCCCCCAAATAAGAGGCTGTGTTTTCCCCAGAGGAGATTTCTTTTTATGTAAATTAGTTCTGGATCACAAGTTCAGGAGGAGCAGAGCCAGGCTGGTAGGAGCTGGGCTCTGGGGCTTAGTGCCCTGTTAATCACACACAGATGCTTCCCCCCTGAGGTACCAGCAGAGGCTGGGAATTTGTGACATGCTAATGGGTTTGTGTTTGAGGGTGGAAAGCACAGATTCTTCCAGACTTCAGCACCCTGTGCACAAGGGAATGGCTGTGCTGGGGATAACCAGGCTTTTTCCAGAGAGCTCCCATTCCTATCTGAAATTCAAGGTATTTTCATTAAGTTTCCTCTCTGTCATAAAGTCTTGGTAATACCATATTACAGAAATACTTTGGGAGATCTCTACCCATGGAAATGAGGAGTGCAGTTATCTACTGGCCTTTTGGACACTTGCTGGAAATTTGCCTGCTAGTATTTAATTAGTGCAGATATTTCTGGTGCTGACTCAGTGGTGTGAAGGCAGGATGGGTTTGGGCTGGAAGGTGGGAGGTGTGGGCTTTGGTTGGGTTCCCACACAGCTGGAGTAGTCCCAGGGTGGTGGATCCCAACCTGGCTCTCTCCTGGTGCTCCCTGGTGTCTCTGTAGGGAGGAGATGCCCAGCTGGTGCCATGGCTGAGCTCTCCCTGACCTCTGCTCTTTGTTTCAGGTGCTGTTCTCCTGCACATGCAGCTCTGCTGTGGATGAGACTCTGAGGAAAAAGGCTGAGAAGTTCAAGGCTCACCTGACAAAGAAATTCAAGTGGGACTTTGAGGCAGAGCCTGATGACTGTGCTCCTGTGGTGGTTGAGCTGCCTGAGGGTGTGCAGGTGGACTGAGTTAAAGGCCCCCTTAGGAGCAAACAGCTTCTAAAATGACCCTTTCCTTCTCATTTCCAACCCTGCCAGCTTCTTAAAGGCTGTTTCTAAAGCTGATCCTCTTCCTGCTGGAGAAGCAGATGTGGGGAACCCAGGAGGATGCTGAGCTTTGTGAGGAGACCAGAGGTGTTGGAGGAGTTTGAGTGCTGCCACGTGGCTGCTTTGGACACCCTGGGGTTCTCCCAGCCCTTCTGCAGCATCTCCTCCTAGAACACAAACAACATACACAAAGTCACAGAATCATTAAAGGTGCAAAAGACATTTTGATATCATGGAGTTCAACCCTAAATCTATCACTGCCACGATCCTCCTGCACTCGGCTGTCTTCTGCATCCCTGCTCCCCTCTCCTCCTGGAGCTGATGCCCTCCTTGGAGAGCACCTGTGGTTCAGGGGTGTAATCCCACAGTGATTTTAGCAGCCCAAACCCAGGCTGTGAACTGAAGTTTAGCTCTTCCTGGGCTCGTGTTGCACTGCTGTGTCAGGTGCTCACTGTGCTGTCATTTACCTGTTGGGGAGATGGCTCAAAGCCACAGCAGAATTCCTCTCACTTCCTACACCCAATACCTCAGAGTCTCATTCCTGTTCCTCCCATTCTGCTGAATGGTTTTGTATTTACTGCTGACACTCTTTTGCCTGGTGTAAAAGAAAGTGAACACTTTGGTGACAGGCAATAGTTCCTGGACTGCGGTCACCCAGCTGTTAAAGAGCAGAGCCAGCATGAGATAAAGGATCAGATTTCCAGAGCTGGATCCTCTGTTTTGTTATAATTGCAAATCCTATGTTTTTGCTCAAAAACAGTGACTGAAAATTAACAGTTTGTAATGGTCAGGTTCCCATGATGAACTGCACATTTTGCAGCTGACAAAAGAGAATATAATTGTACTTCCGTTGTGGTGGGTTTTTTCTTTTTGCAAGGTTGTAGTAGGGACAGTTAATCACAGAATCACAGAATGGTTTGGGCTGGAAGGGACCTTGCAGACCATCCTGTGTCACTGCTGCCATGGGCAGGGACACCTTCCACTCTCCCAGGCTGCTCCAAGCCCTGTCCAGCCTGGCCTTGGACACTGCCAGGGATTCAGGAGCAGCCCCAGCTGCTCTGGGCACCCTGTGCCAGGGCCTGCCCACCCTCACAGGGAGCAATTTCTTCCCTGTATCCCATCTAACCCTGCCCTCAGCCAGTGGGAAGCCATTCCCCTTGTTCCTGTCACTATCTGATGTTAAAAAATGTCCTCCCTTTTTATAAGCCCCCTTATATCTCCTTTTATCTCTCATTATTGTCTCTAGACCACAGAGCAGCTGGGGAGCAGCCAGGCCATGGGGCCACTGTCCTGTGGGGTAGGGAATGGGAGCAGCAGAGCTTCAGCTAAAGGCAGGTGCTCAGAAGCCACCTGCTTTACATGAGCCCACTGCACACTGAGGGAAAAGGGAAGTGGGCACACAGGATTGTTGGATGTTTACAAGGTGGGGGTGTAGATTTAGGGGAGACAGTGGGAGTCAGCAGGAAGGAGGGTGTGTATCAGTGGCAGCACAGAATGGAGGAATGTTTTCTTGCCCTGCCCAAGCTTTAGGTGACAGTAACACTGCACTTTCCTGCAGCTGAGTGTTGTTACTCAACAGCAAAGAGAGACTTTGGTAAATGCACGCTGCTGCAAGCCAATGAAGTGGAGTTTGGGGTGTTTGCAGGTCTGGTTCTGTGCTGGATCAAGGTCAGGAACGTTGTGCAGGGGTACTGAGGCATCAGCTCCATCCCCTGCTGCTGCAGCTGCCAGGGCTGTGCCAGGGGGGCAGGCTGGCACCATTCCTGCCTCTGCAGGCTGGGCTGGGGCACAGCCCTGCTCAGCCAAGCTGAGGCTGATCCCAGGGGACTTGGGACACTGGCCCTGCAGTCACTGTGCAAAGCCCAGAGTGAGGGTACCCAGCCCCCAAACTGCTCTTCCATTCCTTCCCCCTGCTCCACAGGCTCAGTGATGTTGGACAAACACGAGTTTTCAGTCTCAGGGATGGTGTCCTGGTGTGGGGCCTCTGGGTTGTCCTGCACCACACCATGGATTGCTGCTGCTTGTTTCATTCACCCTGCCAGGCTGGACATGAGGATTGTGCTGCCTGAGGCTGCAGGGAGCTGCCCTCCTGCCACAGCAGGGCACAGCTCCCTTTTTTACTGCGAGGAGAATCAATACATTTTGCTCTGAATGTCCCTGTTACTTCCACCACCTCCTGCCCCCTGCCAAGGCAGCAGCCAGAGCACTTCTGGCTTTTTGGGGTGGATTGCTGCCCATGATTCCAGCGTGGGAATCACTCACGGTGTGGGTCTGCAGCTCAGGTTGGGTTTGTGTGGCAGCAGTGCCTGAAGCAGCACCGATTTGTGTGGTGTCAGATGGGAGCCAGGGAGGTTCTTGTTCTCTAAAAGCAAACTGAAGGTGAAAGGGAGCAGATGGGAAGGTGCAGAAAGCTTGGCAGTGCTGTGGTTTTAAATCTAAAGTCAGCTCAGGGTTTTGAACTGGCAACTCTTCCTTGGGGCTTTCTCTTGTCCTGCTTAATGCAAGTTGAATTTCTGTTCTTTGCTCAGTGTTTTGCTGTGGCAACCCTGCCTGTCTCTGTCCACTGTGGTTCAGTTCCAGACCTTTTCTGGTTTTATTAGGTTTTTCTGGTGTCTGTTATTATTGCACCCTTATTTTTCTCTCCAGAAATAACACAATAGAAATCCATTTGTGCCTCCAACAACTCCCAGGAGGGAGAGGTTTTCCAGGGTCTCTTAGACACACACCACCTTTGTTTGGAGCACTGTTTATATCAGCTGGATACAGCCTGCCCCAGCTGCTGCAGATGGACTGGCTGGCACCGAGCTCCTGGAATATGGAAAAAGATGGACTGGAGCACCTTGACCCCTCTCTCTGAGAAAGGAAATGATTTACTCCTGCTACTGCTGGTAATTGTCCCACAGAGTCACAGTGGCATGTTGGGCAGCCCTGGAACAGGGATGAGCTGTCTTTGGCCGTCCCTGCTCCCCCAGGATGCTGCTCCTCGTGTGCTGCTCTGTGCTGGGCTCTGGAGCTGTCCCACGGGCAGGGCTGGGGATGGGGGATGCTCCAGAGAGCCTGAGAGACATCGACTGTGCAGGGGCCTCATTAGCACAGCGCTAATGAGCCTCAAGGCAGCCTCGATGCAAATAAACTCTGTATGGGTTGATCAATAGGAGGCAAAATCCAGGGGGCAGCTGCTGTGTGTGGCTGCTCCCTGCTCCTGCCCTGCCCACAGGGTTCCTGCAGGAGGAGCTGCCCCGGCAATGTCCTGCACCCTGCAGGGTTGGCACCTTCCCATGGAGCTGAGCTGAGCCTCCAGCAGCCCCTGGCCACTGCAGCTGGAGGGAAACATGGATTGGGAAGCCAAGCCCTGAGCCACAGCCCCTGGCAGGCAGCAGGGAATGGGGGCAAGGAAACGAGGCTGTGCCAGGGCTGTGCCCCCCCTGTCCTGCATGGAACAAACTGGGAATGGTTGGGAAACTGGGACATCTCCCAGCCTTCAGAGCCATGACCCTGGAATGCTTCTGCCCTCGGTGAGGGAGCTGCAGCTCTCCCCAGGGCCAGGCAAGGCTGCCCTGGCAGGAGGAAGGTGCCAGCAATGCCCCTCCAGTGCCCCTCCAGGGCAATGTGCTCAGTGTCTGCCTGGAAAGATGATGTCTCTTCCCACCACAGCCATGAAATAATTCAGGAAATCAGCTGGTATTTGTAAAGGAGGGATAGTGAAGAGAGGGAAGATGAGGGGAGCCCCTCAAACCCCCTGGGCTGGAGTTTGGGGGGCACTGGATGCCCATGGCTTGTATGGGGCTCCCCAGAACAGGACATAGCTCGATCCTATGCTAAAGGTTTCAGCATTTTTAGGTTTTTTTCCTCCCCCAAGAGCAGGTTTAGCCACATTTGTTGATTTTTAATAGCAAAAGCTGCTTTTCCCCCCCAGCTGTGATGGCTGTGCCTGCACACCTTTAGGACAGGGCAGCATAAAGAGAATTGCTGTGATTTTTGTACATTATAGTAAATACAAAAGCAAGTTTCAAGCTTCTAAATAAATAATTAAAATAAAAATAAGTTGTCATTGGTTTTTTATTCAAAAAATCCCTGATTTCTCCCTCAGCTGAGGAGCAGCTGGAAGTGCAAGGAAGAGCATCCAGGAAAGCTTAACCTGGGCGTAGCTGTGGGCACAGAGGAGGCTGAAGAAGTTTGGAAAAGAGGTATGCCAAGGATATTTTTCTTGAAAAGCTGGGTTTGGAAAAGATCCCTTCCCTGCAGATGTGGATTTGTGGAGGTTTCAGATGATGCACAAAACAAGAACTGTTTCTTTTGGCTGGACAGAATTGGGGATTCTTTTTGCCCTTGAGCAAGAAAAAAGATGGCCACGTCTGTTAAGGAAAGGATCTCTGGGGGACAGGAATTTCCTTGAGAATCTGATCTGTTTCACCCTGTGAAGATTTTTTTTTCTCTATTTTTTTAAATGAAATTATCTTTGTTTAAACAAAGGCATGTAGTGACAGGACAAGGGGGAATGGCTTCGGAGAGCAGAGTTAAATGGGAAGGAATTCTTCCCTCTGAGGAAGGGTGGGGAGGCCCTGGCACAGGGTGCCCACAGGAGCTACCCCTGGATCCCTGGAAGTGCCCAAAGCTGGGTTGGACAGGGCTTGGAGCAACCTGGGATAGTGGAAGGTGTCCCTGCCCAAGGCAGGGGGTGGGATGATCCTTAAGGTCCCTTCCAACCCAAACCATTCTGGGATTCTAACAGTGGGAATTCCCAGTGATTGTTTTTCAGGAGTCAGTGCTGGGTGCCCCAGGGCAGCCAGGACAGGAATTCCCTGTGGGACTCTGCCCTTACTGGGCAATTTGCTCATCCCTTCCCTGGCCTGGCTAGAAGCTGGTGAATTAAATGTTCCAGGAGCAGTCCTGTTAATGCTGGGAGTTCTTGTTGCTTCCCCAAAAATACCTTTCCTTGTGTGCTGGGAGGGAGGGGCTGCTCGTGCTGCTTTTTGGGGGAGGTTTCCCATGAGCAGCATCCTCAGGGGCTTCAAATCCGACTTTGCTGTTTGGCCAGCTGGAGCCAATGCTCGCTGCAGAGAGGGAAAGCTGCTGCTGTGCAGAGCAGGGGTGTCAGAGCAGGGGAGGGACCTCTGGGTGGCTCCATCCTCACAGGTTTGGTGGCGGATGTTGGAATTTGTGCAGCTGTGCTGCAGGAGCCTCTCTGTGCTCCTGGTCCATCCCTGTGTGCTCAGCACTCACTGCAGGGAATGCTCGTGCCTGGCTAGCACAGCCAGCAGGAGACAGCCCTACTGCTGTCACTGAAGGAATTGTTATCCCAGGGTTATCCTGGAGTGCTGCCTCATGGCTGAACTCTGTGACGTGTCCTGAGCTCTCCTGGGCATCCCAGCTGGGAGCTGGTGCTTCCCACGGGCCCCAGTTCCTCCCAGTTCCTCCCAGTTCCTCCCAGTTCCTCCCAGTTCCTCCCAGTCCCTCCTGGGGTGAAGGGACTGGCTGCTCCAGCCCCCAGGATTGCCTGATCCATGGGGCAGCAGGGCAGGCTTTGCAGCACACAGCCCTGCAGGAACCTGCATTTCAGGTCAGGTGTTCCCTCCAGGCAGAGTCCAACCGCTCTCAGTGACAGAAACTGAATTATCCTTTAATAAGGTTTGATGGAGGATTTTATGAGGACACATTAATATGTATTCACTCAGTGCTGAAATCCTTCTCTGGATAAGTTCTTATGCCCTTCAGAGTGATGTGAGCTGCTCACACTCATCCCATGGGATGGGATCTCCTCTCTGCCACCTGTGGGCAGTGGCTCCAGAGCAGGGCAGTGACACAGGCTCCTGCCACAGGACTGCCTGACCACCTCTGTGAGATCCAC